CGGGTGGCGTGGTCGACGAGATTCCTCACGGCGGGGGCTTTCCTGGCGGCCGGCGTGATCTTCGCACCGGAAGTCTTTGGGTCGAGGGCGGACTCCCCCGCACTAGCCGTCACCCTTGCAAAGCTCGCCCATCTTCTCTGCTTCGCGACCTCGTTCGGCGCCGCCCTATGGGTCACCTTCATCGGTGGCATCATCATGTTCAAGTAACTTTATTCTATTTAAAAGACCTAATAATTCAATACACACGCAATCCACAGTAGCTCCGATATGTTCGTAGCCTTGTTTTCGTTTCTGGCTTAGTGGGCTGAAGGATGCTATGGTAAATTTTATGGATTTTGATTTATCAAATCTGTTTGGATGGCCAGCTGTGAAATCTGAACTAATCAGAGCATTGTCTGTATGAGTTCTTGAGGATTTGGGGATTTTGAATTTTTGCAAATGTTTCCTTCCTACAAATAAAAGACATTTCATGCATTTCATGTTACCACACTGTAGAGTCTCTTTCTTTTTGGCTCTCAAAGTAGGTATTGATGATCTTATTGAAGTGTCTTTTGGAATCCAAACAGATGATAATAAACAAGGGATTCATGGATCTCGCAAAAATACAAACATGAACTCAATGCCCATATCTTTTGCAAAATCTACAATGAACCATGGGAAAAACATGTATAAATGATTTTATAATTTTATCATCATACTTTATACAACAATGTATTATGGTTCTTAGAAGTGCATCAAGCTTTGTAGTATAAGATGCAATGTTGGAAGAGGCAATCTTGGATAAGGCATTTATTTTGGCTCTTAAACTTGCATTCTCACTGTCAAGCACATAATTTGATTTTATTATCATTTGAAATTTCTATGGCATGCTTGTGTGATACTTTCTCATTGTTTAGTATGTCATTGATATGATTAAATGAAAACGAGAAGAAATATATATAATTTATATTTATTAAATACATAAACAAGCTCTTAAATAATTTACATTATGATCTTCAGATTCGTAAAAGTTATGTTTTGTTCTGTTGTTGTTGCAATCATATATGTCTTGCATCAAGTATATGAAACCTGCTTCAGGTTGCAATAAATATCGTTAAACTGATCTTCTTTCTTTGCTGCGCTTTTCATTCTTAATTTGATGTGCTAGTTTGTTCATAGCTGTTTTTTGGATGAATAAATTAAGGAATTTGCCAAGGCATCAGTTTGGAAACCTTCAGAGCAAGATGTTCCCAGCATACTTTACACTTGTATCAGCGTGCGCTGCTTCTTCAGTGGTAGCATTTGCGTATCTCTATCCATGGAAATCTGCATCAACTTTGGAGCGATACCAACTTGGATTTCTCCTTTGTTCTCTTGGCTTCAACCTTTCCAACCTCCTGGTGTTCACTCCCATGACTGTTGAGGTAATACTCCACAAATTTCTCATCCCTTTCCACCTACCTGCTGAAGACTTATCTGATATAGTTTTTGAATGTTACATAAATAATTTTAGGTGACAGTTGAATATTGATTCTAATTTGTTCGCTATTTTTTTTTTTTTGTGTGTAAGCGCATTCTATAGCCACTTTTTGCCGGTTTTGGTTTATCACCCCTTTTACTTTGATGTTCTCTTTATCGAGCGAGTTGGAATAGTTAGATTTTTAGTTTTTTGTCCTATTTATGTTGTTTTGTCTTTGTGAAGGCTAAAAGGGGCTCATTACGGTATATTGTTAGTGAAGTTCACCGTTTGTGAGCATGGCTTAGTGAGAAGAATTGCTTGTATATCTACGCATATTTAGTTTTTTTAGTCTTTTGTTTTTTGGCAAATGTGAAGCACTGGCTTGGTTGCTTCCTAGTGGCTTTCCCACCATATATTACTTTCCTACAGTGCCTCCACTCTCTTCCTTGGATCTTTAAACATGATCTAGGAACCCTAGAGCAGTGTCACTAGAGCTTCATGCACAGGTATATCCAACCTTCCCTTTATATTAAATACATAACTTCTGTTTTAATGCATCTGTGAGGTAACTTTTGTTTATTTTATTTTATTTTTAATTTTGTTTAATGGCATCTAGTATCCACCCTTTTCTTCCCTTTATATTAAATACATAACTTCTGTTTTAATGCGTCTGTGAGGTCACTTGTTTATTTATTTATTTTTTTAATTTTGTGTAATGGCATCTAGCATCCACCCTTTTCTGCATTCTCTTTTTTTGACAGTTGTGTCTATTCATGTCATTTAATTCCTGCTCTTTGGTGTGTTGTTGTTGGTGTGTGGGCGGGGCAGAGAGATGTGATGATTTATTAATTGTTTTAATTGTCCTGCAGAAGGATATTTTTTAGCAAATAAGATTTATGTAGCACAGTCAAATACCGATGAATGATCTTAAAAATATAAAAATAAAAAGGAAATAAGAAGTTATATATTGGGCAGTTATTTGAACGGCATTAAGGATCTACCCATTCCTACTTTGCTTCCCTTCATGTCTGGTGTTTATTCCTGCTATTCAACAATAGTTTTTTTGTGTGTCGATGTTGGCTTGTGTGGGGTTGTTTTAGGTTGAGTTATGTATATATATATTTATTCGGTTGCATTTTAATGTCTTGCTTGCTTATTGTGAGCTCAAAAGCAAGCTTGTTAGCATACAATTTATAAATATCGAAGGATTTTTCCCAATGCAATATGTTTACGGGGAGCTTTTGACAAATTTTTGGGATCAAACATGAAAACTGAGACACAAGGATTCAGGAGAGTCTAATTCATCATTTATTATTTTTCAAAATTCTGTATTTGAAAAAAAAAACAAGGAAGCATTATTTAAAATAAGAAATGCATTATACATAGCCTTAAAATTTAATGTCCCAATAACCACATAATAAATAGAGATAGAAACAATATAACTAAAGGATTCGTAGCAATATTTGCAGAAAGTTATTTCTCTACGTTTGCGAGTTCGAATTACACACTTTGCAATTTATTGCTCACATTGTTCAAGAAAATTCATATCTAGACTATCACAGCTATAGCAGGTTGCCTGATTCCAATGGCAAAAATCTATTTTATTAATGCACAAATTAATGCATTAGAGCTCAATTTAATTAACTAGGAATCTAGTTTTAACTATTACAAGCTATGCATGGCATGAGCTGAAATGCACGCCATTAATGAGAATAACAAATTGGAATTATTTTGGAGCAAATACAGCTATTGATTATTACACTAAATACAGAATCATTGTTAGGACACTTGTTTCCAAGAAACTTGTTTATGTCCAGTCGAGAGAATCTTGTTTCCAAGAAACTTGTTTATGTCTAGTCGAGAGAATTTGATTTTTTTTGTATTCCCACTCATGCTCCATAATAAATGCTTCGCATTTATAGCTTGTTAATTTGGTTGTTAAAGTTACTTCTTGATATAGCTTTAGTAACGCTGTCAACAATTTGTTGATGGGTTGGTGTGTTAAGAAATTAAAGTCAACTTTTTCATTTATGAATTGACAGTAAACTTTCACATGCTTAGCTCCATTATAGTGAACAAGATTCGTTGTAATATTTTTTATAGCTTGATTGTGACAAAGTAATTTGATGGTTTTTTCTTCTGGGACATGCAACACATTTAGATTGTGACAAAGTAATTTGATGGTTTCTTCTTCTGGGACATGCAACACATTTAGAAACTGTTTTAACTAAATATTTTTCACAAATTTCATGAGCTATTGTTCTAAATTCTAGTTTAACACTACTCCGGGGCAGAACAAGTTACTCATTTACTTTTCAAGGTCACAAGATTATCCAGATGAATATTTAATAACTTGTGGTAGATGTGTCTATTCAACATCAATAACAATTTAATGCTCATTTTCTTAGGAACAATCCTTCCATAAGGTCATTTTTATGTTTCTTGAATTCAAATAATAATCTTACAAGAAAGCAAATATTAGCTATATTATGTGTGAGTAAATAAGTTTACCAACAAATATTTGATAATGATATTTGTTAATATGTGCACTATAATAATTTATCACTAGTTTGATATTGGGATCCATGCGAGTATAAATCAGTTTGCATCCAGGCATTCATGAGTGACAATAATACCTTATGGGATTTTGCAACTTCCATCCTTAAGAAATGCTTCAGGTTTTTCATATTTTTTATTTCAATGTGCTTGACCTAACACTGTCTTGTGTATGCTATATCCTCGTTGAAAATTTTTGCTAGTATAATATTATCCACTTATACAATCAGGATAATTGATTTTTTTTAATGAAGATTTTCTTTTGCACAAGATATAGTCAGCTTGAAATTGAGTGCACCCATAATTCTTAACAACCTTAAAGAACTGCCAAACTAGGCTTATGGCTACTTTTTGAAGCCATATAAAGAGTTTTTTGAGTTCACACACTTTGTTAGAAGGGAACTAGAAGTGAAACCCAGTAGAAATTTTTATGTATATCTTATCTACTCACTATGAAATAACTTTTTAATTTTTGATGGATTGGTTACTTAAGATATTAATTGTAAGGGACAGAAGGATTCAAATATTGTTAGTAATAGGAGCAAAGGTCTCTTGATACTCTATACCTTAAGACTTTAGTGTATCATTTTTCAATAAGACGGGCTTTTAACCTTTTCTTTCTTATGGAAGAAGGGTGGAGAAAACCATATTGATGTTTGAAATTGCCCGACATTGCTGTGAAACAATCGGTTAAGTGCACGTATAATGTAAAAAATCAGAAAATAACACAAATATCCTTGTATTTTTTTAGAGGTGATGAGATGGATGCTCCTGTCACATCGGTTTAGTGATTCATCATTATTTTTCATTTGTTTCCAATGTGATTGTTGTTAGCCAGGGATAAGCCCTTCTTAACATATACCCGTGTCATAAGAAACGTTGAAAATCTTATTACAATTAAAGGCAGCGTTTTCGAGGAATCATCTAGTCTCGTATTTAGGTTACAATTTCCGAATAAAAATATGCATATTTTACTAGCTTATTGTGTGTTAATCTATTTGTTTTTTCTAGTCAATGATTATAAATTCTAGATCACAAGAGTTTAATATCCTAATTGATAAATTCAGAGTAAACGACGATCAAAAAGTTAACGCATCAACATGTGTAATTCACAAGCACATAAAACATTTAGGGAAAACAGTCACAGAGAAATTAACGATGAAAATCACTAGTCTTACATCACAAAAGCATGAAAAATCATTTAGCTACAATGGATGAGATGAGAAAACACATAAAATTTCATTGAAAATATTAAAGATACAATATAATAAAATACAAAAACACACAATCAAGTCAATCATTTGTTGTTGTACACCGTATTTTTCTCTGTACAATGCAAATCTCCATCAATCTTTCACTTACACTAGCACACAATCTCTCTCTCACAATCCTCTCAAAACTCTAAAGAAAAACACTCTAGAATCTTCCCCACAAGAGAACTGATGGAGAAAAACCCTAGGGCAAGAACAAGACTCCCCTAGATTTAGAAGAACAATCTCCAAGCAGCCAAGAAGCGGGCTTAAATAACTTGCGTTCGAACCGCCTCAATTCTTTGCCAAATTAGACTTTAGGTGTAACCCGACGTAGGTGCGCCCGATTATGGTGTAGCTATGCTGGATGGCAAAGTAATTATGCCTCAAACAAGCACAATTTCACCGCCTCCTTTATCTCTGGATCGCGTTAACGTGCATTCGAAACAGGGACCCGACGTAATCATGGGTGGCGTAGGTACGACAGACAACGTGCATTCGAAACAGGGACCCGACGTAATCATGCCAGGGGGGTGGCGTAGGTACGACAGACTCTTTTGTCCAACTTTGTATTTTGGCTCCAGAAAGCATGCTCAATACTTGTAACTTGTAAATTTGATAGAAATATCTTCTACAAGCATAAAATCATCATAATAAGAAAATAAAATATGAGATTATATAGGAAAACATGACAAAATTGATTCATATCAATTCTACCGAACTACTTATCACTTGCTCTCAAGTAGCCTTATATTGAAACTTGAATTTGTTTAAATAATTTTCGTAGATCTCATGTAAGACTTCTTGATTCCTTAACACGGTTATATAAGTTGTAATAAAATATGTATAAATATCATCTCATGGTCGGTTTTTCCTTAGTCTTTAATAATGTAGTCTTTTTTTAATTTACTTCTTCCTATGTTTAAACAGATTTCAAAACTCTTAATCTAGTGTGATTGAAATATTTTCATTACACAAAAACATTTTCTATTAATTAATTCCCAATCAAATAATCCAAATTCTCTTAACTTATTTATGAATATTTAATTTAAGAATTTCATCAAAAAGACTTTAAGTTTTATCAGTTAGAAAAATGTTTAGACATCAACTTTTGACTTTTCATTCTCAACCTCAACCTTCTACAAACATTGATGGGCAC